TTTTTCACCCAAGACCAGCAAAAGTAAGCAGAAATTCCGAAAAAAATTCAATCACAGATGGAATGCTGCACCGCGAATTTAAACAATCAAAACTAGTAAAAACTTTTTGGTTAAATCTCCTTTGGAGAAAAATTTAAACTCGAGTTTAAGTAAACGAAGAAGATAAAACCAGCAATCAACAAATGTAGAACTCGAGAAGTTAAGTATAAAACCTTAATTGTTTAATGTTTGCGATAGTTGTTGGGGACCAAGAGTTAAAAGCCTCCCCACTAATGGTTCTAATAAAGCTCTTTCAAATATTAATTAATGAAAGAAGTATTAATAGACAAAATTTGAGTAAAATAATACATTATGAAAGATCAACAAGCATTTGAAAAATATTTGCAGGAGATTGAAGATCCGAAAAATAATAGAGAAATAAATTATGGTTTGCCCCAAAATCCTGATTCTTTGCAAATAACCAAGTACAGACTTTGCAAAAAAATCCTCGGCTACAAACTAGTTAATAATCTTACTCGTGAACAAATCGCCGAGAAAACTAATCTCAGTCTGGCCGAAACTGAGGATATTCTTTTCTGCTGCATTGAAAAATTCACTCTCGATAGATTGCTGATTTATGCTAGTCGGCTACTCTTTCCGTTTGAAGTAAATATTGGCGTAGAATATCCCTCTATTCATGCCTAAACCATTTGAATTGATTAATAAGAAATTTGTTGGCGGAGAGTGAAGATGAACTTACGAATTAAAACTCACATTCAATTATCAACCGGTAATTAAAGTCACCATTACCAGTCATTATAAAACTAAACACGGAAATGTAACCACTAATGAATTAATTTTAGAAATGCTAGAAGCAGAACTAAACGAAGAAGTTCTGGAACCCACTAAATATCAAGGTCAGCGAAAAGTATTCAAATGAGAAGGTTGTTGTCAGAACGAGCGTTACCGGATAATCTTTTGATTTGAAGACAAAAGTTCTGATTGACTTTGAATCAGAAATTGTTATCCCATTAATCGCTTAAGTCAAAGTTTAACTAAATAAAAAACAAAACTGGCAAAATAATCTTTTTCTCGATTCAAAAACCAACTTTCTTACGAATTTTCTCGGAAAAAAAGGCAAAATTTCTAACCCCAATTTCTGGATACGAATCTAAAAAAAAGTTTGCTAACATTTTTATCTAATTTTTTTAGTCATAAAATTGTGAAAATAAACCCTTTATAATATTAAATATGAAGCAAAAAGAGATCAAAGAACAAATACTAAATTTGGCCGCTAAAATGTTAGACTGATATCAGTTAGAAATAAAAGGTTTGCGAGCCAGTTTTGAAAAAGCTGCCAAAATCGCCAAAAAGAAGCCTAATGAACTAACCCCAAATGATGGTGAGAATTTACAACACGAAATGAAATTTCTCAGCGAGAGACTCGGTGATGAAGATAATTACGAGAAACTAGAAGAATTAACTAACCAGTTAGCCAAATAATTATGCCATTTACCAAAGAACAAAAACAAAAATGATACCAAGAAAACAAAGAAGAAATTAATCGTCAGAAAAGAGCAAAACGTCAAGTTAATAAGGGAATTTCCGAGGTCAACCACCCCAAACCGTCTACAAAGGGTCAACCAAATTAAGGGAACAAATGTAGACGGTAAAAATGGTTGACCGGAGGAAAAAGTAAAAGAACGCAAGAGAAAGTGAATAACTAACAAAAGAAACCAAGAAGCAGGAGTAAATAATAAGCTTTGGAAACAGAAGGGATAACAGCCAACCTTAAAGATTTTGAGGAATCCAAAGGAGGAAAACTGTCAAAAACAAGAAGGTAAATTTCCTAGGGCTTGATTAAAAAAGCGTTTAGCTTCCGAAAGTGATGGTTCTTGGAGGGCTTTTGCTGAATTGTTAAAAAGCAATCGTCAACAATGTAGTCAGGAAACTATTACTGCTCTCGATCGGTGAAAGCAAGAAAGAGACGAAATGGCAACAAAAAAACAAATCAAAGCCAGTCGCAAGAGAAAGGCTGGTAAACACATCATAATCGTTTGTGATAGTTTTGGCTAAGACCGTAACCCAATGAGGCCGGAATCGTTTTATTGCTTTAATTGGGGTTATTTTTGCAGAAGAAAAAGCAACAAGAGAACTCTCGATTGCTTTGATTTTTTTAAATTTGAATTGGTTCGGGTTTATCTAAAAATGTGCTGAGAATGAAGGTGAACCTTGATTTTTTTACTTTTTTAACTTGGAAAAATTATAAGAAAAATTTTTTTAATAAAAAAAAAGTTTTTATAATAAATAATAAAAATCAAAGTTATGGCAAAAATTAGAAATATTCTCTTAATTGGAAAAACGGGAAAGGGTAAGTCGACCTTAGCTAATGTATTGACCAATTCTGATAAGTTTAGGGAAAGTGCAAATACCAAAAGTGCAACCAAAGACATTAAGATCGAAGATTTTATTTGAGAAGGGATAAATTATCGAGTCATTGATACGGTAGGATTTGATGACACTTCATTGAGTGAGGAAGAAGTTTATCGTAGGGTTGCAAAAGCTGCTTATGCTGTCAGAGAAGGGATAAATCAAGTTTTATACGTAATTAATGGAAGGCTTGATAAAGACGAGGTGAAAACTTTCAACAGAGTAAAGACGTATATTCTTGGTAGTGGGGTTACCAACTATGTAACGATTGTAAGAACCAATGCTGCACAATTTAAGAATGAAGACTGATGTAGAAAAGACTATAGTGAATTAGTGGGAGAAAGTAGCACTATTTGTGATTTGTTAAAGTCTTGTCATGGTTTTATTCATGTTAATAATCCGTCTCTCGAAGACTTAAGTGATAGTGATGAAGAAGGGAGAAACAAAGCGGTTCAAAAAGCAGAA